TTTTTTATGCCAGGACCATGCTGTTTTGGTTATTATTGCTTTTAGCATATTTTAAAGTCAGGGAGTATGATGCCTCCAGCTTTGTTCTTCTTGCTTGGAGTTGCTTTGAGTAATCAGGGTCTTTGTGGTTCCATGCAAATTTTAGGATTGTTTTTTCAAATGTCTGTGAAAATGTCATTGGTATTTTGATAGTTGATAGGGATTGTGTTATTTCGCAGATTGCTTTGGATAGTATGGAAATGATTTTGGAAGAATTCCCTCCACTTAAATATTTTGGAATAGTTTGTGAATATTGGTATTAATTCTTTAAATGTTTGGTAGAATATGACAGTGAACCCATCAGGTCTTAGGCTTTTCTTTGATTGCTTTCTCCAGGCTTGGGAAGTTTTCTCTTACTATTTCTTTGAATAAGCTTCCTACCCCCTTTTTAAAAATAGTATTCTTACATGTTGTATTTTGGGTTTGCTGTTTTCAATCAATACTATGTTTTTTTTTTTTTTTAACTATGCTTTGGGCTCTGGGGTACATGTGCACATCCTGCATCCTGCAGGATTGTTGCATAGGTACATACATGTCATGGTGGTTTGCTGTCTCCATCCTCCCCTTCCCCATTGCCTACATCTGGCATTTTTCCTGGTGTTATCCCTCCCCAGCCTCCCCACTACCCTACCCTGCTGTCCCTCCCCCCACCCTCCCACTGTCCCTCTCCCCACCCTCCGACTGTCCCTCCCCCCCACCCTCCCACTTCCCCCCCCCACCCCCCAATCTAGCCCAGTGAGTGTTGTTCCCTTCCCTGTGCCCAAGTGTTCTCGTTGTTCATCATCTGCCTATGAGTGAAAACATGTGGTGTTTGGTTTTCTGTTCTTGTGTCAGTTTGCTGAGAATGTGGTTTGAATAGATTCAATACAATGCTTTTAATATTTCCTTATACTGGCATATATAGTTATAGAGCACTAATTTCAGCGATAAATAATATTTTACTGATTAAATTGTAGCGCATTTCTAAAGTAAGTACCAGAAACTATAATTCATCTTGTAAGTTTTTAAAATATAGTTGCTCTTATATTTTGTGTTTAAGAAAAAGCATTTTTAGGCCAGGCATGGTGGCTTACGCCCATAATCCCAGCACTTTGGGAGGCTGAGGCAGTTGGATCACGAGGTCAGGAGTTTGAGACCAGCCTGGCCAAGATGGTGAAACCCTGTCTCTGTTAAAAATACGAAAATTAGCTGGGTATGGTGGCGGGCGCCTTAATCCCAGCTACTTGGGAGGCTGAGGCAGAAGAACTGCTTGAAACTGGAAGGCGGAGGTTGCAGTGAGCCAAGATCACGCCACTGCACTCCAGTCTGGGTGACAGAGCAAGACTCTCTCTCAAAAACAAAAACAAAAACATTTTAAAACTTAATAATTTCCTCTTTTACTGAATAATAATTTTCTAGAGTAACCTTGAAATATCAGTACTTCACATTCTTTTTTTAAGAGACAGTCTTACTCTGTTGTTCAGGCTGGAGTGCAGTGGCATGATCTTGGCCCACTGCAAGTTCTGCCTCCCAGGTTCAAGCTGTTCTCATGCCTCAGCCTCCTGAGTAGCTGGGATTGCAGCGTTTTCCGCCATGCCCAGCTAATTTTTGTATTTGTAGTAGAGATGGGGTATCACCACTTTGCCTAGCCTGGTTTTGAACTCCTGGCCTCAAGCAATCTGCCTCGGCTTCCCAAAGTGCTGGGATTATAGGTGTGAGAACCATCATGCCTGGCCTGAATAGCTTACATTCTTGTAGCACAGTAAATAAGAACATGAACTCTGCAGTAAGGTTGCCAGAGTTTGAATTACAGCTCTGATCTTTATAAACTGTACAACAGTAGACAAATTATTTATTACCACTGTGCCTCAGTTTTCACATCTTTTAACAGGACTATGTAAATATTGTCAGATAAGAGATGTAAAAGATGTAGTGTAGTATCTCATATCAAATACTCAGTAAATGATAATTGTTTATCATAAAGAGAGGGAAGGAAATGCATACAGGATATCTTATTTTTTTTTCTCATTTCTAGTCCTACTATTGTAATTTCTTAATTTGTATACCTGTATAATATTAGTAACTAAATCATATATTCATATAATATGTAAATTTGAAATGATATGGTAGTCATGTATCTTTTTCAACTACTGGACAACTTTGAAATTTATCTGCAAATACTACTACTGTTTAGACACATCTTCTCTGATTTTTTCTTTTTAAAAACTTAATAAAATAAAATGTTGAATTAATTAGAAGTTGCTAGGATATACTCAGAAATAGGGTTATTATAACCTGAACTAAAACACATTTTATTGTTTCTTAAATTCCCATGGCTAACTTAAACTCACTGGGCAAGTAGATTTCAGCCTTATATTTACCTAGGAATTGCTTATCAGTTAAGAATAAAATTATTGATTTGCTAAAGGCTTCATTTTATAGTTTTATAATTTACCATCAATTGTTTTATTTTTATTCCTTTGAAAATATACTCTAGACTGGTGATTTCTTTATTAATGTGGTGGTGTACACTAGACCTTTCTGTGATAATAGAAGTGTTTTATATTTTCACTTTCCAGTATGGTAACCACTAGCCACATGTGGCTGTTAACACTTGAAATGTAACTAGTGCAACCAAAGACCTGAATTTTTATTTTTATATAAGTTTAATTAATTCAAATAGCCACATATGGCTGGTGGCTACCATATTGGATAGTGCAGGTTTAGAGTAGCAGAGAGTTTTTTAATATAAAATAAATGTCAAATGAATGACTTTTTCAAAGAATTATCTTTAATATGGATTCTTAAGAATTTTGTTATCTCATTGTGTAAGAGAACTGTAGTGAAATTTTTCATAATTAAAAAAACGTGTAGTTATGTTCTATGCAGATTGAGGGTAAGCGAATTCGGTCTCTAATTCTCCATACGTAAAATAGGGAGGGTTGTGCCTATTTCATAAAGTTGTTGGAAGATTTAAATTATATAATAAAATGAAAAGTTCATTGCATATTGTTTGGCATTATGTATGTATTAAATGCTCCGTGAATCTTATTTTCTGTTATTGTTAATTTTATTGCTGTTTATACTAATAAATAATAGTCGCCTTTCCCCTGCTAATTTTCCTTTTTACTTAAAATATTTTCCTTTCTGTTTAGCAACTGATTTGGTGCTGAGAAAGGTTATCAATTTTTCTGACTGTACAGTTTGTCTTGATAAACGGAATGCCAGTGGTAAAATAGAATTTTACCAGGATCCTTTATTGTACAAATGTTCCTTCAGAACTCGTCTTCACTTTACATATGATAACCTAAATTCCAAGATGCCGTCTGTTATTAAAGTAGGTATTTCTTATTTTTTTTGTGGTTAAGTTGCGTGTCTCTATTTTGTTGATTGACTCTTGTGGATGCTAATCATTATTAACAAATGATAAAGAAATTAACCTTATAAATATTTATGATATTTGTTTTTATAAAAGTTTTATGTTTATGATTTTTATGTTATATTTATACATTTCTGTATAATGTGTTCTAGTAGAGTTTAGAGACATTTTTCTATAACTGTAATTTTTTAAAAATTTTATCCAGCTGTTTATTAGTGTTTCTCTCTTCAAGTAGATAGAGGAAATAATATTAAAAAGTATATTTATACCCATAATGGACTGCATATCAGTATTCTATATTTCAGTTCTTGTAATCTTGTTCAGCATGATCTGTGGACCATACTTTTTCTTCTCTTTACTTGGTGACTTTGTAAAGCTTGATATGCTAACCTAATATTTTAGTTTATTGGTTCCCTTCCCCTCCTCCCCTCCCCCCTCCTCCCCTCCCCCTTCTTCCCTTCCCCCTTCTCCCCTCCTCCCTCTTCCTCTCCCTGCTCCTTCCCTTCCCTTACACCTCACCTCCCCTC